AATCACTGAAATAAACGAAGGAGTCATTATCAAAAACTACCAATCAACGTTCCAATTTACTTAAAAACTATGATCAAAATCATATTTATAAACACATATACTTAAAATCATACTAACATACTGTGTACCGTAAAGAAATTACCTTGATTCATTCCACTCTGACCTTGGTCCATTCCTCTTCAAACCTTCGATGTCATTTTCGAGTCAAACTTCCAAAAGTCTTCAAACCTTCATAAAAAACAGCAAAGATATGAGTCAGAAGAGAAATGAAAGAGACCGATGGAAGATATGAGTTAGAACTTCAGAAGAGAAACAATGAGAGACGGTTGCGATTGATGAGAATAGGGTGAGGGACGGTGGTGAATAATGAGAAGAGGATGAGGGACGATGGTGAATAATGAGAAGAGGGTGAGGGTGAGGGACGGTGGTGGACTGGTGGTGAATGGTGATCGCCGATCGGTAAGGACGGAGCTAGGGTTTTTTTAGGAGAAAGGCAGAAATGAAATGAAAAGGAAAACTGGGAAACGTATCGTGAAGTGAAACGAAAAGGAAAATTGAAGCGAGAAATGAAAAGGAAAAGGGAAAGGTTTCACATTCGGGCGGGTCAGGGTATCCGCGAGTCAGCTTTTCGTACCCGGCCCGCGCAAATCAACCCTCTTAAACCCAAATACATCAACCCGCGTGGCCCAATGGACCTACTGAACCCGCCCAATTTCCAAAAAAAAATCGGTTTCAAACGGGTTGGGTCGGGTAGACGGTTTTTGTCCACCCCTACCCCGCGTGATCGAGAACACCCTTGTTTACCCGTAGTTAGCCTGAACTACGTTTTGCTCTGATTTCTCGTACCAAACGAGAATACGTAGGCACAAGACGCGATGTCTTGGCGAGCAATTCTCCCCGTAGTTTCCCGAACTACGTTGACTCTGACTATCCCATTGCACGAGGGAATACGTAGGCATAGAGCGCGACGCTCTATCGAGTCAGTTCTTTCCGTTCTTTTCAGTTCTTCCTGTTTTAGCTTTAGCAGCTGTAGATAGTTTGTTTTTTCACCCATAGACTAGACAACAAGCGTGGATCCCGTCGAGTACGACGGACGTGAGGGGTGCTAATACCTTCCCCTTGCGTAACCGACTCCCGAACCCGAGATTTGGTTGCGATGACCGATCTTATCCCTCTTTTCGTCAGGTTTTCTCTGAGTGTTTCCTTTCCCTCTCTTGGGATAAATAACGCACAGTGGCGACTCTTCTGTCATTGCCAACCTCGATTTTTGCAATAGCGACATAGTGTGTCTAATGCTCCTGGTGTTTTATGGAATATATGAATAAAGTCTTTCATCCGTATTTGGATAAGTTTGTGGTAATGTTTATCAATGATATTTTAATTTATTCAAAGACTAATGAAGAATATGTCGAACATCTGAGAGTTGTATTGAAACTGTTGAAAGAGAAGCAATTATATGCTAAATTGTCTAAATGCGACTTTTGGTTGAAGTAAGTGAGTTTCCTTGGTCATGTGATTTCTAGTGGAGGTATTCTTAGTGGGAAACTTTGAAGTCTATTATTGAGATTCAAAGTTTTCTTAGATTGGTGCACAAGAAGGAAGAAGATAAAGATTATGAAGATGGAAGAGAGAGAGAGGGGGGGGGGGGGCGGAGAGAGAGAGAGAGACAGAGTTTGTGTATCTAACTTTTAATAGAAAAATGATTACACTCTAATCTGTTACAAATGAACTAGGTGAAACTTATATACTAACAGAGCCTCTTAAATGAAACTCAAATACAAAACCAAATTAAATGCAAATTAAGTGAGTCTGAATTATAATCTAACAAGTTGTTGGGCGTATGATGACGAAACTCGATGGGGTAGGTCGATCAAATACCTCGGGTCAAACATAAATCTTGTCGTTGTAACCGACCTATACTAATTCATATAATTTCGAGTTGGTCTAGCATCTTGGATGACATGTTTGTTAATGGTTCGTTTATGTCAGTGCTTCTATTGATGACATGTGTCCATAGCGAACTCTATCCAATCAAAATAATTTCATTGGACATTGACTCTTAGCTAATGCCATTGTCCCAAACACGGGGTCTGGGATTCGTCACTGCATGCTGAACTGCAGTTTGACACGGTCACTCTGGTGCATCTCCACAGTAGTGACCCTGATGATTTTTTTGCAGCCCAAAGTGCAGCATCCTCGAGGTTAATCTCATGGTCGAGACCCATATACAACCTCCAAATAAACTATAGAGGAAAAATACATTATTGGAAGATTTGTAAATCGATAATATTAAAACTAAATTAACGAGGTGATGAGTTGTTTAGTTGTAATACAGACCGTTATAGAATGTTTGAGATATTTGTTATAGTTCATCCCTAAAATGGACCACCTAAATCGGAAAGAGTGAAAATAAATTTTTATAGTTATTTATAGTATAAAGTGAGTAAGTGGAAATAATGACATATACTTACTTTGTCGCGTAAAGGAATGAGAAATTATTCTCGTTGACGGTGGCGAGTAATAACATTATCGACCAACTCCATGCTTAGAGTAAAAAAGCAGAAGAGTAAAACGGACAAGTACCCTTTTCTCCATTTTTACACAAAAAAAAAAACTATATAGACGACACAAAACAACTGAACTACAACTATATGTTCTTAATTTATTTATGTCTCTTAAAAAAAGGTAAATGCATAATATTTATAGTGTTACTAATAGTTTTATGAAATAAAAAGTTACCAAATTATAACATAATATAACACCGAGTTCTAATTATTTTTTAATTCTCACACCAACAACCTTTGGCTTATGTGGAGAAATGATTAAAAATTTATTAAATAACATTAATACCTTCGAGACACTCACATCAATCACCTTTGACTTAGTCAAATATCAGGAGACCTCAAACACCTCAAAAAAATTGTAGAAAACATCAAAGGCAAGCAAATGCATCAAAGTATAAAACTGATGGATTTTATGATTGAAAACTTCATTAAAATTCTCTTCAGACGTTATGTAATTGTATTTGATGAAATAATATTATAATTTATTTTTTATTAAACATTTTTATTATTATTGTATTGTTGTTAAAATAATTTTGAAAAACAAAACAAAGTAACATAAGAGGCAAATGCGATGACATATGTTCTTAAAACTTGCATGCATGTGCTACTGCCATTAATATGAGCAGTAGGTATCGGTGCCTAAGGCAAAAAAAAATGGTGTGCATACTTACCGACAATGATGCATCTTTTATGGGACCAATTTTTGTTTGTTTGAAAAGTAATTAATTTGACATATATTTTGAAAAAGGGTTATTTAATTATTTTTTTTAAATTGTGGTTATTTTATAAAAAAATCAAAAATTAAGTGTTTAAAATATTTTATATTGTCATATATATTAATTGGTATACATTTAATTGTGTAAAAGATATTTTATATAATTTAAGTTGAGTTTAACCTACTATAAAATTTTAAAATTTAAGTCTCATCAAAGCTCCATTATAGACCTTTTTTAGTTTGATCTATTTAAAAGTCTTAATATAAAGCTTATTTAAATTTTTTATCTTTCATATATTATTTGACATATTTTTTTAATAGATATGTATTTATAGGTTGACTTATAAAGTTTCATAAAATTTTTTTCTAAATGCTTATAATATATATATATATATATATATATATATATATATATATATATATATATATATATATATATATATATATATATATATATATATATATATATATATATATATATATATATATATATATATATATATATAAGTAATTTATTCTTTCTGAATCTATTTTAAAATAGTAATATTTTAATATTTTAATTATTAATATAATTAATTAAATTGTTTTAAAAATAATTTAAATAATTAATCAAATAATTTCATGTATTTTGTTGATGTGATAAAAATTAAAAACAGTCACATCATTCATGAGCTACCTGGACGAAAGAGACTCTTTTGTCACATAGGATCACAAGAAAATATGAAATATGATTTAAGAAACTATAAAACTCATTTTTTAAATGAAGGTTAAAAAGTTATTAAAATGGATACAAGGATGTCAAAACTACATTTAAGTCAAAAATAAAAATAAAATAAAGGAATACAATCAGAATATAGTGAAATATCTTTAAAACTTTAAAACAAGAGAAAAATTAGAGAAAAATCATAGTTGGTGTCAAATGACAATTAAAAAAATAATATTATGTAAAAATTATTATAATACATATATTATTCTCAAACACCTCTCGTGCACCCACATTCTATAAAATAATATTTAACTATCCCTCACAATTTTATACAACACTATAAGAGAAAAGAAAGCATTCTATAAAATGATATTTAACTATACCTCACAATTTTATAGAACACTATAAGAGAAAAGAAAAACAAAAATCAAATATAAGATAAAATGGTATTATTTCTAACATGTATATTTGGAACTAACATATCATTCTTGCAACTTATAATTTATTTATATGTTTTACTTCTATACTTAAAGGTACATTAGCTTAGTAGCTAGTATAGTTAACATCTTTTAAGAAATTGTGAAAATCCACAATTGAGAGACATAATTTATTCTCTGGCAGTGTCGTTTGAAGCATAAGAGAAAATTACATTTTAAAACTATCTGTTGAATCGACTAACTTTAAAATTAAAGAATATCCTAACGAGTTTAGAACAATAAAACACAATGGAAAAATTGTATGATTTATCCTAATTTAAATTTTACAAAATGAAAATGAGAAAATAAGAGATGTTAATAATTTAAAACGACTTAGATGATTCGACAAACTCAATGAAAAATCACCTTAAACAACTCCAAAAGTAATTAAATAATGAACAAATAAAAATACAAACATGAGTGACAAATGTTATTAGAGTTGATTCTAAAATATTCTTAACAAATAAATTAAAGCAAATAAGACACAACAACATAACATAACCATAGCAAAAATACCTAACACTAAGATATCATGTTGATCACTCCTCAACTTCTGCTTCGGTTTCATCTTCACTTTCCAACTCATCATCTACCCATCAAACAATGTGCAAAAATTCACATGAGAAACAAATGAACGTGAGTAGTTATCACAATCATCTACATAAAATTAATCGAGTGTGATAATTTGAATGCAACCACAATTAACAAACCCTAACTACTGTTATAATTAGTTAATCACACAATCACAATTCCTGTAATTTCAGTTATCATTCAACCTTTTGATTTTACTAAACCATTATCCAAACTTGAAAAGCACAAAACATTAAAAACAGAGCAACTCTCAATTCTCAATTTTCTAACATGAAGTAAACAAAAAACAACGAAACCACTACGTTAGGGTAATTCCTGTAAAAAATTTTGCGACGGTTCTAGTTAAATTAAATGCGACGCTATTCACCTGATGCAAAGAGTTCAAGTTGTGTAGTATTTTCCTGATCAATAACATCAAGAAAAACAGGGTCAACAGTAACATGACTATTCACACGAACTTTAAAGTTATGGTCCCACCACAAGACTCTAGCGGTGCCAGCAATGTCCACCGCCGCATCGAGTATCATCTCCCGCTTAGCCACATCCGCCACAACACGTCCGGCGTGTTTCGCTAGCTTCTTCGCCTTAAGCCGGGCGGGGAGTCGGAGAAGCTGACACGACCGCGGGGGCTGTGAACCGGCTTGAACCGGAGCCGAACCGAGAAGAGAGCCTTCGTAGAAGATAGACATAGTTGTGGAGGAGTAGCTAATCGGAGCTATGTTTGGGTTGGTGACGTGGACGGTGAGGAGAACCTCTGCGTCTATGGCAGGGAGGCTGGGTTTTAAGGAAGTGAAATTGATTGAAATGAGATGGAAGGTTGGGTCTTTAGGTTTTGCGGAGAGGATTGAGGTGGCGGCTACGGCGGAGGCGGCTCCGATTAGCGCTGATGTCCAACTCCATTTTACTCCCTTTTTTTCTTCCATTTTTTTTTTGAGACTGTGATGGATGTCGATGTGGATGTGATGAATGTATGTATGTATGATGGTGTTGTTGTTATATGAAAGATTGGATATATTGGAAAAAAGAAAGAGAGAAAATATGGACGGAGAAAAGATGGTTGTAAGGATAATGCATTTGAGGTGTTTTTGAGCATGAATGGCACGTGCACTTCGTGCTCAATGTTTAGTTGAAATATGCTTACTCCTAAACCTTTACACTTTCCTCTCTTTATAAAACTTTCAATTCAATGTACTGTTTTTGTTTTTAAAGACTTTAATTAAAATATTCTGTTTATGAATGATTTTTTCTAATTAATTTATATTTTTTCAAAAAATATTCAATGCTACGCTTTAACTTTTATGGTTGTTTGGGAAATGTAACTTTTTTTTCAATTAATTTTAAAATTTATTAATATTTAGTAAAAAACCAAGAGTTATATAAATTTTATATTTTAAAACTTGTTGACATAAATAGTATTAATGATTTAAAAGGTTGACGAAGTTGACCGGTTTAAATGGGACGGTGGCTTTTTTCTCTCTCCAAAATACATTTGTACACTATATTTTTACACACTTTTTTTAAAATTTTTTGGAAGAACAGGTAGAACTTTAAATAAAAAATAAAAAATTAAAGGATTATAAAAATATTTTGTTTTAAATTAAAATATAAAATTTATTAAAAAAAATAAAATAAATATTAAAGTGTTGTGTTATTATATTAACTAAATTATGAATGATTCAATTTTTATGATAAGCAAAAGATAAAATTATATAACGTTAATGTAATGATGTAATTGTTATAAGTTAACAACAATAATATAGTTTTTTCAATGAAAAGGGCTAAACCCAAGATTACACATTAACTATTCTCATATATGAGGTTCCCCTCATATTAACAATATACATTTTATACACCTCCATAGAACAAACATGTAGCATATCAATACATTGATCTTTAGCTAATCTATCACAATACTTGTTAACTTTCCTAAACACATGCTTAATTCGAATATCAAAAAATTTACTCAATTCAATTTGAATAAGCTTTAACAAACTAATATTTATCCTTATGTGATAGTTCTCCATTTTGATAGCCTTATACACTTCTATCAAGTCCGCTTAAATCTCCACGCAATCATACTTCTTTCTGTGAACAATTGTTGTTACATATGTTTCTGCGAGACAGAGCATGTTTCTTTTTCAAATGTTGCATCAACCAAACAAAAATGGTAACACGTTAGGGTACCTGAATTTTCCTAGTTTTTCGCCAATTGGAGTCATCAGTAACATTATTTTTGCGTGTTATTTCATCATAGGCATCATATATGGAGAAAGCTCCATCATTATTTTCTCCCCAAATGCAAACATCCTTACCAATATTCCTACAAGGAGGATGAATCGTTGCTATCTTCCGCAAAATTTCTTGACTAATGAAGCCTTAAAGTCTATTTCTAGTCCCATTTCCCATCAATATTGTTGGGACAAGTTTGGTTCTACAAATATCCTTGAGTTTTGATGATAAAAAAATGTAGAGAATAATCTTGTACTGTAACTATTTTGCTAAGTGTGTAGATAATAGAAAATAAATTATGACTCTGAAGACATCTAGAATTTGAACCAAAGGATCAATTAAAAGTGTGTTTACTAAAAAGTCAAACATCTAAATTGTTACAAAGAACTATCCGAATAGAGTCTGATAAAAATGGACTATTCAAGCATATGAAGTCTAATCTCCATAGACTTTTAAGTCTCATTCTCACCAAGTTCTAAAGACAAGTTTTGAACTCTACTCAAGCTTGATCTACTTATATATGAAGCCTCTGACTAGAAGTTTATATCCAAAAGTCAACGACTGATTAAAGTGACATAAGTACAAAAGAAACATATACTTTCTATAAAAAGTACTATACTCTGTACCTACAAAGTTCATCACGTCCCATCATCCTCACCAACTCTCTGTTGCAAGCGCCACTCAAATGTTGTAAAATGAAATGACTTTCATACAACTGTTATATTAAGGATATTCCGACTTCACCCTCCAAAAAATATATTATTCCCTATATATTGAGGTCTTGGAAGTTTAAAACAAAAAGAGTGAAATACACAAGAAAAATATTGAACACTGCCTAAGGTTGCAAAACTCTCTTATGTGAAAGGAAAACGAAAAGTGTTTTCACTATAAGAAAACTATCGCGTTCATAAACACTAGAACACTTTCTTGAATTATTTGTTTAAGTGTATCCTTTGTTTTAAACTTGTGTATCTGCTTATTTAGAATAATTTTGTAAACACAACTTTGTTTATCTTAACCCTTGGTTAATTTTCCTGAGAGACTAAGTTTAGTCAAAACTCTCAAGAAGTCTTTGACAATTAGTCTTTGAGTTATATTTCCTTGAGAGACTAAGTTTAGTCAGAACTCTCAAGAACTCATTTGCAGTTAGTTAGTCTTTGAGTTGTATTTCCTTTAAAGACTAGGTTATAATCGTAATTCTCAAGAAGTCTTAGACAATTTGTCTTTAAGTTGTTGTAATCAGTTTAATTATTGGATTAACACTACAAGAAAAACGATGGATTACGACGGTTATTTTGGCAGGTTACGACGGTTAAAACCACCACCAATTACATTCTACGACGGTTGTAGTACCGTCGCAGAAACGTGTGTCCCCAAGCTGTTTAGCGACAGTTGAAAAAACCGTCACACACAACTGTCGTTATATTTCACGACGGGCTTGAACTGACCTAAACTGGAGATAGCGACGGTTAAAGACCGTCATTACTATCCTTTTGATTTTTATTTTCATTGTTGATTGTGACGGTTTAAAACTGTCATGAACTCTATTTCACGACTGGTTGGAACTGACATAAATTGGAAATGACAACAGTTAAATACTGTCGTGAATATCCTTTTGATTTTTGTTACCATTGTTGATTGCGACGGTTTAAAATTGTCGTGAATGTGATATCTTGACGGTTCATTATTAATTTCTATATATTGTATTATATTGTTTTATAATATATTCTTTTATTTAAATTATTATCTACTAAAATAGTTATATTATTTTTTCTTTAAATTATTTAAACAATAATATTTTTATTTATAGTTTTTTTTTAAAATTTATTTCTATCGCTTTTTAGCGTAGTAAAATTAATTCCAAAACTTAATATCAAATAAACATTATAATATCGGAAAAAAAAGTGAGTTTCATAATCATGTAAAATGAAAGTTCCATAATCATGTCAACATCCAGCTAAAACCATCAGAAGTTGCAATTGCTAACCAATAGTCACCAGCTAAAAATGACAACACCCAACCAGCTGACATTGCTACTACAAGTGCTATTCCCCACCATCCGAATGCTTCTGTGAAATATTGTTTGTATACTTTAAGGCTCACATGTCCAGTTTCTCTTCCCTCGTCTTCAATGAGCTTTGCTGCAGTTTTATCATCAAACTTAGATTGATCTTGAGAGGACTGCTTTTCAACCCCGCTTTCTTTTTCTTTCGATACAATGCAGGCGAGTTTTGGAGACTGAGAAGAATCATCATTGGAATTATCACTTGTTTCTAATATCTCCATAGAGGATTCATGAGCTGCCACAAGTGCACCAAAATCTAGGCCTGCTTTGAGAAGTTCATCATACTTTCTACTTTGCACTACTCTTCCTTCACGCATCACCTTTAAAGTTGATGTCAAAATATAAGCTAAAATATAATATCTAATACTATTATTGGTAAGATTAAGATAAGTCGGGACAAATTGAATTTAACTTCCATTTACAGAAAAACTCAATAATTTAGGGACTTGTGAGCATATACATACCATGATAGAGTCAACATTATGCAAGAAATCAACTTGATGAGTTACAAGTAAAACAGTCTTATCTTTGAGAGTTCCCATGATACATTCCTGCAAAAAGATGGAGAATCAGTTGTGATTTGTATTAGAAATTTAAAATGACAATTCATTTATAATGGAAACCAGTATCATCTTGATTGATACTATAATGTATTGTTTATAATCTGAAAAACCAGAACAATGTAATAATCAAAATAGCAGAACAATGTAATATTTCCAAACAACATTGAAGCAGGATAATCTAAAAAAGGAAAATCTCACCAACAACGTTTTGACTCGTCTTGAATCGCAGAATATTACCAAACATTTTTTCGTTAATTGTGAAAACAATTCTAATGGACATGGGAGATTCGGAACCGAAACAGGAGTAGTCCAACTTCCTACAGAATAAACAACCATTATAGCATGACCTTTAGAAGGATTTAATTTGAATACTTGCTTTGAGGATTAGGAGATAATCGCGTAAGGACAACTTCAGGCTCTCTTCCAAAACCTGCGGCAGGGGAAAGATTTTTGGTCTCAACTTTTCGAACTAAGTCAAAGAAGAACAGATAATACGAAAGCGATTACAACATTGTGTACCTGTCAAAGACACCCAGTTTTCGCCGTGAATGATGGCAGAAAGTAGATGTTGAGGTTCGGCACGCTTCCTTTTGACGGCATTTCAAAGCAGCAACCCCGTCGTCTTCGCACACCATCGCGGGAGTATCAGCATCCGGTTTTGTTTCCAAAACCATGCCGCATCTCCAGCACACCTAACTGTCATCAAACCAATGAATTTAAGCTGAACAAAACCTACAAATAGCAGTCATTAGCACACGACGGATGTTCAGAACAGGCAACACATTTTTGCAACAAAATGTATTATATTATAATTGTTTTAATCTCAACAGCATTTGATGCAAAAATTAGTCTAATCATGAAGCTTTTGTCTATATTATATCACCATTAATGACCAAAGACTTAATTTTCAAAGCAATTATTTGAACACAGCATTAACAAATATTTACCTATATACCAAAGAATCAAATGTCAATTTTTCTAAAGTCTCAAATTTATCAACAGAGAATAATAAAAACACTATCTGCAAATATTCTTATTCATAGCATAACTCAACATGATTAGCCAA